CGTCGGGCTCTGGCACTGTCCCCATGCCGGCGGCCGGGCCGGCAAAGCTGGATCCCAGCCCGGGCTTCGCCGGGGCCGGCCAGGTCTCCACCCTCGTTCCCACCCCGCGGCGTCTTCTCTGCAGACAGGGACCTGCCCCGGCCGGCTCTGGCCTCGCTGCCAGCCAGGCAGATAAACAAGAATAGCCCTGAGAGGGGTCTAAAATCACAAAGCGAAGGGAAGAGCAGCTGAGCAGCACCAACGCCGGGCCCTGGACAAAGGTGCTCTGCAAACAGCGCGGGTGGCCCACCGCACCGCTGCCCGCACAGCGACTTGGCCATCAGCCTGCCCTCCCTCTCCCGCTGAGCTTTATTCTCCCCCCAGAAAGTATTTTCTTGAGCTCAGTGAGATGTTTTTTTCTGCACAAGAGGGAGAAGTCAGGAAAAAGGAAGTGAAACAGCAAGGAGGGGTGGGCTGGGGCTCTGCTCAGCAGCAGGAGTCCCTGAAAACCCCCATCTGTCCCTAGGTCTGGCACTAGCCCTGGAGAGGTGCATTAGGGATGTCTCCAGCACCATTACCCCTCCTGGTGACAGCCAGACTGATTGGGGGTTGGGGGGGGGCACATGGTGCAGAAGGTGCTCAGAAACCCTGTGCTTTGCCCTCATTCCTCTGATGCCCTCAGCTCCTCCCCAGAGCTGCACGCACATTTCAGGGCCCTCCTTTGACTTGCCCAGTGGCGACCAGGCCACCTCCCAACTCTAGGGACTTCCCTCCTTCCCACTCCTGCTAACACAGCACCATCAGCAGTAAGCCCAGAGACCTTTCTTTCTAAGCATTTCGCTTTGTGGCACAGCGCAACAAGCAACAACGCAGCCTCTGGGTCTGTTCTCATCCTCAGCTCATTTTCCAAAATGAGAAAATGCACAGCTTGACTCACCAGGCCTATAGCAGAGCATGTTGGCAACTTTGTTAGATATTGCCTTAAAACATGCTGCTCCCTTCTCCCTTCCACATCCCTCCCAGCCCAGACACCTTAGAGCCACACATTTACTTAACAAGTTTGTTGGTCCTTTTGAAGCAGCCTTGAGCCATGACTACTCTGCTGAAACACCCTATTACAAATCGGCCTAACAGGGAGGCAATTCCAGCAGAACACATGGTTCTGCCCTTGTTAAGTAAAAGGCTGGTTGGTTGCCACTTCCCAGGAAGCCTGCACAGCAGTGACTGCTGTCTAGACAGACGCTATGCCTGGGCAGGAGCAGTTTTGCAAACATCCCTGCTTCTCGCACCACAGCCCTTACAGCCTGCTCCAAGGGTTGCTGCTCACCAGCACAGCCAGGATTCACAAGCCCCCTCCCTCTCCCACTCTCCAAGAGCAGCCCAGAGCAGGCAGGTGGTCATCACAAACCAACAGACCCCAAACATGAACACAAGAGAGACAGCAAGAGTTTCAAATGCATTTATTCACCCTCCAAATGTTTTAAGTCCAGACCCTCCCCCAAATTCTTCCTCTGATAAAACTCTATGGCAGGAACACTTCTTCCCTGCTGAGTATTTAGCAACTTTAGCAACATCTAGAGTCAAACAAGCTCCTGCTACCTGTAAAACTGAATGACTCCTGAACCTAAGCAGTTGTCCCCACCTGGGGGAGCTCACAGCTTACAAAGGAGCCAGGATCTGTTCATGCAGAATTACCACTTTAGGAGAGGATCAAAAAAAAAAAAAAAAAAAGACAGAGGCTGAAACCTTCAGGGACAGGCTCATCTCAACTCCATATTCCATTTAGACCTAAAGAGTGGGGAAAAAAGTCTGAATGAAGAACAGTTTGACATGACATAGCTTCAGATTTCATCTGCGTTAAGGAATTCCCTGGCACTCCCACTCCCAGCACTTTGCAGTGATTTTAGGGAGTTTGTGCTGCTGCCTGGCCTCAGCCCCATATCCGCAGGATTCATCCAGCAGTCTCCAAAGAAAGAGTCATCACTGACCAGGTGTGGCATGACCGATCTCACCAAAACTCTGACTTAAGAGACACCATGCTCCCAAACTACAAACCTTACTACTGACCTTTATCATTCCCACCCGGAAAGCCCCAACAGGCTGCAAAGTCCAGTTGAGGATTAGCCATTTCCAGTGGCTGGTAAGAAAAGAATTTTAGTAGCTGCTGACAGTATAGGCACAACTCACTTCACAGTCAGTTTATAGCGTTCTTCATACTCCGTAGGACAGCTGAGATGCCACTTATGAAAACCAAACAATTCTCACGCTTACTCACAAAGGACACTCACATGTCGAGCTGCATAGCTTCTCCATACATGATTTACGCCTTTTGGAGAGCAAACTGATTCCCTTCACTGAAGCAAGGGATAAAGGCCTTACGTCCATGAGCTCTCAGCTTTTTCCACTAAGTGATTCCTGAAAAAGACAATATAGTCACAGCTAGGCAATCCGAAGGTGATGGGCCTCTGTACACAGAAAGAATCAATGCATCAAGTCAAGCCCAGATATCCTTAAATTCTAAAGGAGCATGTTTTAATGGGGTTCCCCCAGGAGCAAAACAACTAGCAGAAATGCTCAAGTGACCACTAGACAGTGCTTGGAACCCTTTCAGACTTGAAGGTCACTGTCACCTCAAAGTAATTTGCATCCAGTGCTGTGATTAACATGACTAAACTCATTGCAAGCCTGTACAACAGGGAAATTCAATTTTTTATTTTCTATGACTTCCTGACTCCGCTGACTCACGTCCCCATGCATAAGGCTCCCCAGGATGATTACTTGTGTATGACACAGAAGAGAGCAGCTAGCAAATCGTCACTACACCTCCTGGGATCCTCTTAGTGGGTGACCACAACATAGCCTTTGGACAGAATGTCTGTACCTTTTAGGAATCAACAATGTTATCTTTTTACTCACCATCTTGCTTTAGCCTATAAGGGCCTCCAATCTTGCCCTTTATCTTCCTCCCTCCCATCTGATCTTACACATTCAGGCTGTTTTGTCTTGTTGCTCCCTGGTCTCCAAACAAAACCACCCACTGGAGTCCTCGTGAGCTCCTGACCTTTGACACTGATACTGTTCCTTTCTCTTGCTTATACACACACACACACAATTTCCTGTCATTATTTCAGCCACAATCTTAATACTTCTGCTGCAAATTTCCACAGGTCTAACCCACTTACCCATTCTGACTAGTGGGTTTCCTTCCCACTCCAGCCTCCCCAAAGCAGCAAGATTAACTTAAAATGTCTTCAAACTGGCCCCTCTCAGAGCAAGACTGTACCAGCAAAGAGGCTGAGACCAGTTTGCATTTTATTTTTCCTCCTTTTTCGACCACAAGATCGGTATTCAGATCCGATGGGAAAGGGATCTGGAGGGACGCACCAGAGCTTCTGCTCTGGCAAGGGGTTAAGTTCTCACCTTGCAAGTGCCATGGTGGGTCTATCCAGCAGGCAGGCAATCAGTTGAACGAGCTCCTAATCATCACGTAGCCCTACAACACACCACACCACCACCCACATAGTCAGAAACAGGTTGCAGATACTACTCTTCATGGACACATGCCACACCAACACAGGAACACACTAACACATCCACTCCAGAAGCCACTGGTGCCCTACAACGGGGGCAACAATATACCTTATGTCCCTGAAAACATATAGGAGGGGCGAGTGACAGCAACAGGCAGAAGAGGCCCAGCAGTCAAAGACCTTCCTGTTGCTCTTGCATGTTGTTGGAGAACTGTGGCTATTTCATGAAGCCACAGCTCTTGGATTAACATGCGGACTAGAAACCACTGTTTGGCAAAGCTTTTTACAGCTGCAAAGAGAAAACAGGCAGGTACACCAAAAGCAGAGTTATTTATTGGCTTAAGACAAGATCTGGTTCCCAGCTCTGCTGCTGGCCCTCACAAATGATGCTGGAAAGATGAGCTCCTCTTTTATCCCGGGTATACATCAGATCTTGATAAGGTAATAAATACAGAAGCAGAGTCTCCAGTGCTTAAGGGCTGAAGGAGTATTTGCAGCAGGCCCTGCTAGTGAGAAATCCTTGTCTGCTGGGCCTAAGCCCAAGAATGAGGCCTGCAGAGGAACCAAAGCACCTGCGACAAAAACTGCCTCCAGAAAACGCTGCTGTTTGGTGCTCTAGGTAATGGAGACAGTGATGACAGCTAGTCAAATTCTCAATAACAAGGAGAAAATCAAGAGCCTAAATCACATCTCACCTGTTTGTGCTGCTCAGCCTGGGCCGTTACCACCCCATGATCTTGCATACATGCGATCACCTTCCATGCTTGAAGGATGCCGGGGAGAGCACCAGTCTTCAACATCAAGCAGCTTCTTACGCAGAAAAAGGACTTTCGAGTCACAGAAAGGCTATGACACCCACTGCCTCCCACTTCCCCGTACGCCTTCCCCCGCCGGGACCCCAAAAGCACCGAACAGCTGCCATCTTCTAGCAGCAGCAGCGCCGAGGACCACCGCCTTTCCCAAAGGTGTGTTTTCCCGAGATGTTGCTGGGCAGTTACGGCAGAACAAACTGCGCAGCGACCGTCAGGGAAAACAGCTCGCTGTCGGCTCCTTTTTGACTGCGCCAGCTACGCAAGCCAGGCAGACGCAGCTTCGACAGGGCCGGAGCGGCTGCC